GGACTCTTGGATGACTTGTATCCATTGAAATGACAGGCAAATTTTAAACTAGGGGGGCAAAGCCTTTCAATTTTGATACTCAATGCTCTTTATATTTTATGATATCTTTGTGGAAGCAAGTTTTAAATGTGGTTCTAGTTGGTTGCCCTTTTTTCCATTTTTTGGATAAATACCATGGAATCCCAATTTTTTTAGGGAACTTCTAGTAAAACGTAAATGGGGTTGATGAGATTACGAATGACTATGCAGGTTGAAAAAAAGAATGTACTCTTTGATGATGCCACATTCTGATGCTAGTAAATTTTTAAGTTTCAATCAATTTTTTTCTTTTATATCATCTGTCGTGCAAGCTTATCAGTTCCTAGAAGATAGTTAAAAAAAGGGGCACTTATAATTAAAGTTATTCTAGTAACAAAGATTGAGCATGCTGTTCCTTACATGCATAACGAATATTCTATGAAAATTCTTGCTGCAAATTGTTTCTTTCCAACCTCTGTAGTACATATTCATTGAGCCTCTATTGCTTTATAGAACTGCTAATTACTCCTTTTAGCTGTGCTGCAATTTGAAAAGCTAATATAACTTTAGCCAAATTCATGTGAATTTACTGAATCAAAAAGGCTAATATGGAACACAAAATGGCTCCTGGAATCATATACCCCAAAACAGAAAAATAATAGCTGGAGTTAATGTTTATTATACTCTTTAACTTGTTAACCANTCGGGAAATGGAGCAGTATTGTTTGATCTTATCTGCTACTCAATACTTGCGCATTCTTCTGGGAACTAAGTTCTTGGTTTTGCTTTTGGTGAATCATTTAGTAATCGATGTTACGAAAGTTTAGAGGGTTAATGCGTTTCACGTAGTGGTTGGATTAGGAGAAAATTCAATATGATATTTGTTATAATATAGATATGGACGGAGCTATCTCAGCTTGTGTTAGTTTTTTGATCAATCTCGATTGTTTGTTTATTGTACCACAGTAAACATAGTAATAATGTTCTACTGGCTGCTGTGGATCCCTGTTGAACAATTGGCCAATTTGAGAGATTGAGCTGTCACTGCTTTTGATCTATACTCCTGTTGTAGTTTTTGATGATATCATTGGTTGTCCCTTGCTATGTTAAGAGAATGCTCATAGGCTGAGGCAGAACCTGTGCACTCTATAGTAGAAACTGTATTTGGAATGATTACTAGGACAGGTCTGTAAGACATTCATGTGCTTGGGTGTTTGAACTTGAGGTGCTCACTCATCCTAATGAAGTTTTTCATTTGAGCAGAGCTCACCATGGTTCATCGTTGTGGTGTCAATCATGGACACGTAATGGCACTGAGACGCAGCGATCTCTGGCCTCATGGGATAGTATCAGGCGATAGGCACGAAGTGCTAGATAAAAGAAGTTTGTTCAATAAGAAGAGAAATTCATATCACATTACGCCATGGACTGATATTGGTAGATATAGGCAAGTTGATGACGATGATACAATTGACGGGATCCGAGATATCTCTAAGTCCATCACAAGTTGGGTGAGACTCGTGGTTTACAAAGAACATGTATTGTTCTCCGAAGAAAAAAGTATTGAGCCAAATGCGACTCAACCGGTTCTTGGAAAGTTGGAGCTCATACATTGCCATTCCACGCTCAACTTGGCTTCATCTTTTGCCCACCAGAAAAAGGAGGAAAAAAGATGGCCGAACTTTGGATGCTTCAAGTATCTTGTTTGCTTTGTAATATCTTAGTGCCGTAATTTGCCTCCCAAGAAGGGAAGGCCACTTTCAACTTGCAAATTGGCAAGTTGGCGCAAATTTTATGAGAACCTGTGAACTTGTTCATTATCTGCAAACTGATCCAGGAGAATTCGTGATTTCAGCTCCACTTATCATAGGGCAAATGATGGCTAGACATGTAGCTAGGCTTCAGGCCTCTGCTACTCAGCTGCACTGCAGTGGACCCTAGTGTCTCTGGCTACAGTACAAAGACACAGTCACATAAAAAGTTGTCATGGTGTAGGCAACACAACGTGAACCTGTCAAATACAGGAGTAGACAAAAAGTTTCGACTGCTGCACCACTGCAGCTCTAGGTGCTATTTTTCTTCTAGTTGGCTAGTAATAAGATTCCATACATTAAACATAGACTAATCTTTTTACTTGTACTGTATGCAACAACAACTGACATATTATTAAATAAATCATAGAAAGCCCTCACGAACGAAACATGTACATGAGTGTTCGGCCAAAAATTAATAATAATGCATGGTTTACATTTTACAAGACCAGCAATCTCAGTCTTTTGAGCCCTAGCTTCATAATCTGAACACTGCATTTCTTAGTATCTATCCTGTCCTTGTAAGAGCAATTCAATGTAACACTGCTGGTAAATGTAGGCATGATTCTTTAGTTGTTCCGATCCCACTGGACACGATAGCTGACCTCCACTTTTAACTAGTATAGTTTCTTATTTCTTAATATTGTGGGCTTGGTCTAAGAATAGTAGTTCAATTTCACTGTCAAGATTTGTATGATTAATGATAGACCGGACAGTATTCTCCTGCAGCCCACTTTGGTTTCTTAATAGAATGATGGTGTCTTACGAACTTAAATCGATGGGTATCTCTATTGAGATATATGAAAGGCTCTTCCCATTGTCTGGGATATGCATAACAGCACTAACATCACACTTCCTGTTTTGCTCTCTTCCTGGCCTTACAACTCTACCCAGCATGCGTGTGCACATGGGAGAGAGAGAGAGATATTCTAGGAAAACAATGAGAGACTGAATTTCTCTCTGTGGATGTGGAGTGATCTGTTAAAAAATCACCAGAATGAGTGACAATTTTGGGTTTCCAATCTTGTCTTTCAAGTCTCAACCGTATTTTTGCATGTTATGGGTAATTGTTGCTCGTAGTCTATGTCTTGTGAGGGCGAATATCTTTGAGGCTGAGAATTTCTGAGGCCCTTTGAGCACTGGGTTGATCAAATGCACCTCCACAATTTTGCAATTTCTCAGGTGTATTAAGATGCTTGACATTCCAATCAAATAATGAAGGAAAATGAAGATTGATGTTTGGAAAAAATTTATGAGGCCCATAAATGTTATCCGTAACATTTTCTTGTGTGCCATCTTTCCTTTCATTTTTGAGATCTGATGTGAATGGTGTTTACTCTTGTACGTTTTGGACATAATCCATTGAACATGTTCGAAAACTGAAAGTCATAGAATCACTTTTTCACATGAGAAGATTGGGCAGTGAGGTGGTTCTTAGTTCTTATTCCTTAGACTATACTAATTAGTTGGAAACCAAACACCCACGCCCCCTCAAAAATAATAAAAAAGGAAAAATGAAATAAATACAATAATCAACCTATCATCTGTGAATAAGCTTGCTTTTCATCCCTTATCCTTACATTGTGTGTCTTTGGTTTATAGGATTTCATTAAGCTCCCTCAATCCTTTCCATAAATTTTATGAACTTGGCTTGCCATCTCTTTTGCAGTGCTCTTGGTGTTGTTTAACAAAGCAGCTCTTTCTTCCTATGGGTTCCCGTGTGCAAATGTCATCACTCTCTTCCAGGTAGAAAGCATCAACTTTTTGCTGATCTATCCACTTTATTGGCGAGTTTTCAATTCAACGTGCCGATTAAATTGTAGTCACCAGACTGATTAATCTGTTGTATCAGTATTACAAATTTGTATACAGGGTAAAAGAACAATCTAGTTTATGTTAATTAAATGCAGAAATTAAAAAAAAAATGAGCAACCTTTGTGGGTCTCTGGGGAATTTATTCACTAAACTGTCCTCCTTGCCCTGTGGATGAGGCACTCTGTCATGATGCTGAAAAAGGAAGACAGGCCTCTCTCTTGCAAAACCAATGAATTGGTTCTCTTTTACCAGTCTTTGGCTGATTCCTCCACCGTGCAGTGACTGGAGAGATTTTAGGTTGACGAACAGCAAGCAAGCAGCATTTTTACTTAAGGTGGAAATTGATCCTCCCATTTGCTAGTTGTTGAAAGTTTGGACTCTTGGATGACTTGTATCCATTGAAATGACAGGCAAATTTTAAACTAGGGGGGCAAAGCCTTTCAATTTTGATACTCAATGCTCTTTATATTTTATGATATCTTTGTGGAAGCAAGTTTTAAATGTGGTTCTAGTTGGTTGCCCTTTTTTCCATTTTTTGGATAAATACCATGGAATCCCAATTTTTTTAGGGAACTTCTAGTAAAACGTAAATGGGGTTGATGAGATTACGAATGACTATGCAGGTTGAAAAAAAGAATGTACTCTTTGATGATGCCACATTCTGATGCTAGTAAATTTTTAAGTTTCAATCAATTTTTTTCTTTTATATCATCTGTCGTGCAAGCTTATCAGTTCCTAGAAGATAGTTAAAAAAAGGGGCACTTATAATTAAAGTTATTCTAGTAACAAAGATTGAGCATGCTGTTCCTTACATGCATAACGAATATTCTATGAAAATTCTTGCTGCAAATTGTTTCTTTCCAACCTCTGTAGTACATATTCATTGAGCCTCTTGCTTTATAGAACTGCTAATTACTCCTTTTAGCTGTGCAGCAATTTGAAAAGCTAATATAACTTTAGCCAAATTCATGTGAATTTACTGAATCAAAAAGGCTAATATGAAACACAAAATGGCTCCTGGAATCATATACCCCAAAACAGAAAAATAATAGCTGGAGTTAATGTTTATTATACTCTTTAACTTGTTAACCATTGTCAATTTTACTTGTCTTGTCAATGACATAGAGAAGTTGGAAACCCTCAGGTAGAAAGGGCAAAAGAAAAGAGGAGGCTCCTGGGTGGATGATGGTTGAGTTTAATCAGAGGAGGATGACAAATTGGACTTAAATAGTGATGTTTGTCCAATGTGTTGGGCAGTTTGAGGTAGACAGGAATGGGTTAGATGGAAGGCAACTGCAGCATTTTCATTTATGACACAAATGGATGTAAATAGTGGAAGATACTACAATCAAGGAACTACTGATCCCTGTAAGATAGTATCCTGAGACAAAATGTCATGAAGATGAAGTGACCAGGCCACCCTAGAGGTATCTTAGTTCTAGGAGTTATAGGAGTCATCAAGCTGCAATACCATTGCGAAGGGTGCAAGATTCTAGCTACATTTGATGATGGAAGAAGCAGAGCCTTCCTGTAAGGGACCTCGGAAGGCGACATGTCCCATACTATCAATAAAATCCAATCAGGGAATTCTTCTTTGAATGATTTTGGCGAATCATAAAAAATGGTGGCAAAGAAACTAGATGCTGAGGACACACAAGGAGAGTATAACCTCAATTCTGGTTTCCCCAAGCATGAAGCCTTTGAGGGGTGCCATCACAACATTTTAAGAAATTGGCTGGCTATTGATAATATCTTTGCACGAGTTTTTGACTGCTTTAGCAGTTAAAATGAAATTACAAAACTACTGATTTCAGCTCTGACTAGATTGTGTAGAAAGTTACAAGTGCCAAAGATGGGGCTGAGGTCCCTGCAGGAGGGCTGTAGCTTATAATCAACCATCATCTGTCTGTCTGTTAGGTGCACAAACCTAATTACTGCAACTCATGTCCAAGACATTATAGAATCACCAATTTTTATTTTTTTTAACTTGTGTAAATATAAACCAATTACATTTTTATTAACTAAAAGATTATACTGAAACAGACTTGACATTGCTCAAGACTTGATTATTAATGTTTGATGTGGGCCAAAAATAAAATGATAATAATAATGAAGAACACCAAAGTTCACATTTCATGTTATATTTAACTTCAGTGAGACCCACATTCTTGATCAAATCTTCTGTTAAAATGGACTCTGACCTTTTGTCAGATGCTAGTAGGTGATTGATACATTTCAATTTTGAATCTGCTGCAGATGATATGTTCATGTTCTCTTCTTTATGCATTACGACGCCGGAAGCTTATTTCCTTTAATGCTGGTGAATCCTTGAGTTTGACTGAAAACTACACGACGTTTGTACCATTGAAGACATTGATGCATACCCTACCTCTTGCTCTGACCTATTTGCTTTACATGGTACATATTTCAGTATCTGATGTAAACCCTTTGTTGTTGTGTTTGAAAACTTTCCATTGTGATGCTAAATCCACTTTCAAACGCACGGCAAAGAAAGAGATAGGAGATACACACACACACACACATATACATACATACATACATACATTGATACATACATATATATATATANTCCACTTTCAAACGCACGGCAAAGAAAGAGATAGGAGATACACACACACACACACACACATACATACATACATACATACATACATTGATACATACATACATATATATACATATATATATATATATATATATATAGAGAGAGAGAGAGAGAGAGAGAGAGTGTTATGTTTGTTGTATAGGTGGAACCTTTCTAANCACACATATACATACATACATACATACATTGATACATACATATATATATATACATACATTGATACATACATATATATATATGTATACATATATATATATATGTATATATATATATATGTATATATATATATATGTAGAGAGAGAGAGAGAGAGAGTGTGTTATGTTTGTTGTATAGGTGGAACCTTTCTGAAAGCCTATGTATAAGATTATGGAATAGTTGGATTATCTTTCCATTGTTTTATTTTTCTTTACTGTGCATGTGAGTGTGGGTTTGGTAATAAGTTTTCACTCTTATTTGCGAATATTGACTACCATTATTATGTTTGTGCTTAAAAGCTGGCAACTATGGAGTCTGTCCGAGGGGTAAATGTACCCATGTATACAACCCTTAGGAGAACCACTGTGGTGTTTACAATGTTTGTGGAGTACATTCTCTCCCAGCAGNATGGGTAATTGTTGCTCGTAGTCTATGTCTTGTGAGGGCGAATATCTTTGAGGCTGAGAATTTCTGAGGCCCTTTGAGCACTGGGTTGATCAAATGCACCTCCACAATTTTGCAATTTCTCAGGTGTATTAAGATGCTTGACATTCCAATCAAATAATGAAGGAAAATGAAGATTGATGTTTGGAAAAAATTTATGAGGCCCATAAATGTTATCCGTAAACATTTTCTTGTGTGCCATCTTTCCTTTCATTTTTGAGATCTGATGTGAATGGTGTTTACTCTTGTACGTTTTGGACATAATCCATTGAACATGTTCGAAAACTGAAAGTCATAGAATCACTTTTTCACATGAGAAGATTGGGCAGTGAGGTGGTTCTTAGTTCTTATTCCTTAGACTATACTAATTAGTTGGAAACCAAACACCCACGCCCCCTCAAAAATAATAAAAAAGGAAAAATGAAATAAATACAATAATCAACCTATCATCTGTGAATAAGCTTGCTTTTCATCCCTTATCCTTACATTGTGTGTCTTTGGTTTATAGGATTTCATTAAGCTCCCTCAATCCTTTCCATAAATTTTATGAACTTGGCTTGCCATCTCTTTTGCAGTGCTCTTGGTGTTGTTTAACAAAGCAGCTCTTTCTTCCTATGGGTTCCCGTGTGCAAATGTCATCACTCTCTTTCAGGTAGAAAGCATCAACTTTTTGCTGATCTATCCACTTTATTGGCGAGTTTTCAATTCAACGTGCCGATTAAATTGTAGTCACCAGACTGATTAATCTGTTGTATCAGTATTACAAATTTGTATACAGGGTAAAAGAACAATCTAGTTTATGTTAATTAAATGCAGAAATTAAAAAAAAAATGAGCAACCATTGTGGGTCTCTGGGGAATTTATTCACTAAACTGTCCTCCTTGCCCTGTGGATGAGGCACTCTGTCATGATGCTGAAAAAGGAAGACAGGCCTCTCTCTTGCAAAACCAATGAATTGGTTCTCTTTTACCAGTCTTTGGCTGATTCCTCCACCGTGCAGTGACTGGAGAGATTTTAGGTTGACGAACAGCAAGCAAGCAGCATTTTTACTTAAGGTGGAAATTGATCCTCCCATTTGCTAGTTGTTGAAAGTTTGGACTCTTGGATGACTTGTATCCATTGAAATGACAGGCAAATTTTAAACTAGGGGGGCAAAGCCTTTCAATTTTGATACTCAATGCTCTTTATATTTTATGATATCTTTGTGGAAGCAAGTTTTAAATGTGGTTCTAGTTGGTTGCCCTTTTTTCCATTTTTTGGATAAATACCATGGAATCCCAATTTTTTTAGGGAACTTCTAGTAAAACGTAAATGGGGTTGATGAGATTACGAATGACTATGCAGGTTGAAAAAAAGAATGTACTCTTTGATGATGCCACATTCTGATGCTAGTAAATTTTTAAGTTTCAATCAATTTTTTTCTTTTATATCATCTGTCGTGCAAGCTTATCAGTTCCTAGAAGATAGTTAAAAAAAGGGGCACTTATAATTAAAGTTATTCTAGTAACAAAGATTGAGCATGCTGTTCCTTACATGCATAACGAATATTCTATGAAAATTCTTGCTGCAAATTGTTTCTTTCCAACCTCTGTAGTACATATTCATTGAGCCTCTTGCTTTATAGAACTGCTAATTACTCCTTTTAGCTGTGCAGCAATTTGAAAAGCTAATATAACTTTAGCCAAATTCATGTGAATTTACTGAATCAAAAAGGCTAATATGAANTAAGTGGGTTAAGATACTGTAACAGTCCCTTAAATGTGCAGTTTGTGTCACTTTTGTCATCATTCTTTTAATTTTGTCACCTTAGTTCCTCAAATTTCTAATTTGTGTCTCTTTAGTCCAATCAAGAATGACAGTTTAAATTACCTAACACAAGNTTGACTACCATTATTATGTTTGTGCTTAAAAGCTGGCAACTATGGAGTCTGTCCGAGGGGTAAATGTACCCATGTATACAACCCTTAGGAGAACCACTGTGGTGTTTACAATGTTTGTGGAGTACATTCTCTCCCAGCAGAGGTATACTCCATCTGTAGTTAGAAGGTAAGCAACCATTTCTTTCTGATGCTTTTGCCTTCACGTAATTAATGACTTTACTGATGCCACTGAATGGTGTGAATTATTCCAGATGTAATTTTGATTTCATTATAATGGGGAAGGCAACCACCAAACATTGAATATGCGCTTAGAACTATGCAAAATCACTAGACATTCACAAAGTTTTCAGGATCACGTTCCCACAAAATAATTTACTCTTCAAGATTATGTGACAAGGCATTCTCTTCAAATGACGCTTGGGGGTCTAAGTCTTGAGGTCTTATAGAACAATCTGATTTGGTCAATTGTGAATTAACCGATGCCTTTGTTTTTGGCTTCTAGTTGTCACTGTGATATATCTAATGCATACACCAACCAATGTATTTTTCATTTAAACCTCAACTGAGGCTGAGCATACTGTACCATACTGTCAGATATGTTATATATGTACATAGTTCAGTAAAAAAGGTTTTTCTAGAAACATATCCAAATAAATGTTGTCTTTTCTTTTAATATTTACATAATAAATCCATGAGTTATGCAGTTTGATATGAAAGCTGAAAGCTGGATTAGTTTTCATATTTTCCACTGAATGGAAAACTTTACTGACTTGAAACTTGAAAAATATGGATGCATATCAGATAGCACATCATAAGTTTTCTTGCCAAGTTATACGGTTTCTTCCTAATTATTAAACTATGTGATACAAATCAGTGACAGAGAATTGTTACATTTATTCTATCCTATAGAGAAAGACTTCATTCCATCCAAAGCTTAGTTTTCATTTTTCGACAGTTTTTGTCCTGTCCAACTACCGTTTTAAATGTCAGTTGGCACATTATGATGATATTTTTAATACTTAAATTACTTTAAGGGAGAAGTTGGTAATAACATGCACTATGTTGGGAGATAACCGCTAAGCTAAACAGGATGAGGAATACTTTCAATAGGTTGAACCGGTTTATATCCTAGTGGCAAAGTGCCACCAGCTACAACCTGGCCAATCGAGGTTTGATCTCCCCTCCCCTGTCAATATAACAAGTGTTGCTGGTGCATTAATTTTCCAGAAATCTTCATGAAATTGGTAGGAATCTCATTTGCTGCTTACAGAATACATTCGCATTAAAGTTCTTCTATTTCCACTACATGTAGGAGACTAAGTTTATGTTGACACTTGACAGTATCTCAAAATTCAAAATCAGTCCACAACAGAGTACATATGCCTGTTGGATTTCTGGGTTTCACCTCATTGGTTGTAACTATACCTGACATATTCCCAGATTGGGTCACATAGGGACAAATTTTTGAATCTTCTTTTAGTTTCACATGAATCTGGGTTTGGGTTCTTGCCCCTTCCCTCCCTCCCACTCCAAAACATGACTTATAATAAATAAATCTTTGAAATGAGAGACTTTTCTTTTAAATAAAAAAAGGAAACAAAAAAAAATAGAAAAAGAGCAAATTGGGCATAATTCTAAGTGAAGCAGTCAAGCATACATCTGGAGAGTTTGGAACATTTGACCTTGCAATGGATTCTTTTACAAGAAATAGATGTTATACCATACTTTCATTCTTATGTTTCTAAAACCTGCATTTAACAAAAAAAACCTTAATATGTTGCCAGTGTTGCACTGATCGTGCTGGGTGCATTTATCGCGGGAGCTCGGGACTTGTCATTTGACTCCTATGGATATGCTGTTGTTTTCATGTCCAACATCACTACAGCAATCTATCTCGCAACAATAG